GTATGTATTAAGATTTTTATTTCCTCTCTGCTATTGACCCTCACTAAGGTAATTCTTCTCCTTGATGCTTTTGGCTTATCGGCCTTTCTTTAGACCAGTGGTTTTCAATCAGTGTGCTTTGGCACCCTGGGGTGCCTTGAATGACAGTCAGGGGTGCCACTGGCAACACCAGCCTCTGTCTCTCTTTCCTTCCCTCCTTTCTTGGATGCCATCTCCCGTTTCTGCCTCCCAAAGGCTTGTGTGACTGTTGCAGCAGCCCTGGCTACAAGCTCCCCAGGCGAAAAGTGCCTCTGGGGCTGGCCAGGGGGTGCTGGTTGCCAGGATCTGAGGTGGCGTTGGAGTAAGCAAGCAAACGGGCGAGGGAGCCCAGCCAGCCAGTCCACCAGCCCTTGCTGCTGGAAGTGGACAGACAAGTGGGGCGGCAGGCAGGCAGGCAGGCAGGGATGTACTGCACTAGCCTTTCTTGTGCAGCGCCACAAATCCAACTCAGTGGTGTAACATTGGAAAAAGTTGATCACTTCTCCTACCTGGGCAGTTATCTTTCCCCAAGGGCCAACATTGATGCCGAAATCCAGCATTGCCTGAGCTCTGCAAGTGCAGCTTTCTCCTGATTGAATTGCATTGTGTTTGAGGAGCAGGACATTCGCAGGGAAACCAAAATGCTTGTTTACAAAGCTATTGTACTACCAACCTTACTGTATGCTTGTGAAACATACAGGTAGACCACTTATAAACGCCATCTCTAAGTCCTCAAAAGATTCCATCAACAGTGCCGCCGAAAAATTTTACACATCACTTGGGAAGACAGGCGAACTAATACAGTGGTACCTTGGGTTACATACGCTTCAGGTTACAAACTCTGCTAACCCAGAAATAGTACCACAGGTTAAAAACTTTGCTTCAGGGTGAGAACAGTTTCAGGTTAAAAACGGACCTCCGGAATGAATTAAGAACTTAACCCGAGGTACCACTGTAGCAGTGTACTGGAAGAAGCAAAGATCACCAGTGTTGAAGCAATGATTCTTCAACATCAACTTTGCTGGACTGGTCATGTTGTGCGGATGCCTGACGATCGTCTTCCAAAGCAACTACTCTATTCCAAACTTAAAAATGGAAAGTGTAATGCTGGTGGTCAACAAAAGAGATTTAAAGACTGTCTCAAGGCAAATCTTAAAAAATGTAGTATAAACACCAACAATTGGGAAACCCTTGCCTGCGAGCACTCCAATTAGGGAACAGCCTTTACCAAAGGTGTAATGGGCTTTGAAGATACTCAAATTCAGGACATAAGGGAGAAATGTGCTAAGAGAAAGGCACGCTAGGCAAATCCACACTGTGATCAACTCCCACCTGGAAACCAATGTCCCCATTGTGGAAGGACGTGTGGATCCAGAATTGGCCTCCACAGTCACTTACAGACTCATTGTTAAAACCGTGTTTATGGAAGACAATCTTACTCGGCTATGAGGGATTGCCAAAGCCAAAAGAAGTGTGCAATGCTTGCCTGGGAGCTGAGTGCCTGGCCAACAGGCAGGCCTGGCGTGCCGGCCTTCCCACAAACAAATGGTGATGAATGCTTAACAAATAGCCAACATCATCTAAAATCCACCAAACAAATCAGGATGAATTTTCAATAAACTGACCATCTAGATATTGACCTCAGAAATTGACCTCAGTGCAAAAAATTGCAGCTATAATGAACTAAGAAAACCAGACGGTTCTTTGAGGACATGCGACATTGACACAATTCAGTTGGGCTGATGAGGCAATGGGATCAAGGTATGTGTGTTTTTAAACCTCCTTTTCCTCTGTAGTGGGACAAAAATAAACACTTGGCATTTTGCCAGGGCCTATGTTCCAGAAAGCAGAGGGCTTGTATGTGGACGGGATATTTTTAGAGGTGTCATCCAAAGCGTTAGAAGGATTTGAAAGTGGCCAAGGTGGCTGAGATGTCCAATCCGTACGCCTCTTTCTTTACTAAAGACCACACTGTACTAAGAAGAGTTGGCCTAGAAGTCTTCCAGCCTAGAAGTTTTCCACATGCAAAATAATCAAAATTCAGCACTCGGAAAACCCAAATCTGGTGCTCAGCATTATCCAAATGAAGAGAAGAGTTTTCTCATTTTCTCTTTACCAGCTCAATCTGCCTGCTTCTTTCCGAATTTGACTGTATTTCAATTTCTTGCACTATAAGGGTGGAAGAAAATGCCACCCCCACAAATACCGTATTTTTCGCTCTGTAAGATGCACTTTCCCCTCCTAAAAAGTAAGGGGAAATGTGTGTGCGTCTTATGGAGCGAATGCAGGCTGCGAGGTTATCCCAGAAGCCAGAACAGTGAGAGGGAGTGCTGCGCTGTGCTCCCTCTCGCTGTTCTAGCTTCTGCCTTAATGGCGCAAAGCCTCTGCAGGGCAGCAGGGAGCCTTCATGCCGCTGCCCTGTGGAGGCTTCATGTGGCTATCCCTGGCTTTTGCGGGAGATGGGGGAAGGGACAGCGCACACGGCTCTGTCCCTTCCCCCGCCTCCCAGAAAAGCCCCCAAGAGCTGCGCTCCCTTTAAAGAGTGCGCGGCTCTTGTGGCAGGTGGGGGGAAAGCCACTAGGCTTGCTTTCGCTGAAGCCAGGAGGGATCGATGTGCACTGATTCCGCTTGCTGCGAGGTTATCCCAGAAGCCAGAACAGTGAGAGGGAGTGCTGCGCTGCGCTCCCTCTCGCTGTTCTAGCTTCTGCCTTAATGGCGCAAAGCCTCTGCAGGGCAGCAGGGAGCCTTCATGCCGCTGCCCTGTGGAGGCTTCATGTGGCTATCCCTGGCTTTTGCGGGAGATGGGGGAAGGGACAGCGCACACGGCTCTGTCCCTTCCCCCGCCTCCCAGAAAAGCCCCCAAGAGCTGCGCTCCCTTTAAAGAGTGCGCGGCTCTTGTGGCAGGTGGGGGGAAAGCCACTAGGCTTGCTTTCGCTGAAGCCAGGAGGGATCGATGTGCACTGATTCCGCTTGCTGCGAGGTTATCCCAGAAGCCAGAACAGTGAGAGGGAGTGCTGCGCTGCGCTCCCTCTCGCTGTTCTAGCTTCTGCCTTAATGGCGCAAAGCCTCTGCAGGGCAGCAGGGAGCCTTCATGCCGCTGCCCTGTGGAGGCTTCATGTGGCTATCCCTGGCTTTTGCGGGAGATGGGGGAAGGGACAGCGCACACGGCTCTGTCCCTTCCCCCGCCTCCCAGAAAAGCCCCCAAGAGCTGCGCTCCCTTTAAAGAGTGCGCGGCTCTTGTGGCAGGTGGGGGGAAAGCCACTAGGCTTGCTTTCGCTGAAGCCAGGAGGGATCGATGTGCACTGATTCCGCTTGCTCTCCTGGCTTCAGGGATAGCCCCGCAAAGCCTCCTGAGCGAAGAGGGAGGAGTGCTCCCTCTTCGCTCAGGAGGCTTTGCGTTGCTTTCTTACTTCTTGTTTTCCTCCCCTAAAAACTGGGTGTGTCTAATAGAGCGAAAAATACAGTACATGGTCCGGTGCGTCTAATAGAGCGAAAAATACAGTACATTCCCCAAATACATTTTTTCTGGTTATTGTATGCAGTAGGGGTTATTTGCAGGGGAGATTTAGGAGAAACTCTTAACCGAGCCCCATCAGAGAAAGGCAGTAGGCCGGCAGGGGTATATGGGGCCAGGTGATCCTTCAGATTAGGTATCCTAACTGGTCCCAAGCTCCCAAGTTCAAATGTGGAAAGCAAAACCTTAAACTGAGCTTGGCATGCTTCTGACATACCAGGGTGGATTAAAAGCCACCAGCAGGCAGAGCAGATAATACCAATGGTCTGTAGAGCATGAGATGCTGTAAAATCGACTTTTCAAACCGGTGCCCTCCAGATGTTTTGAACTACAACACCCATCAGCACGCTGTACTATGTTTTGTAGTCTAAAACATCTGGCCGGCAAAGGCTGGTGTAAAGAAATTAGCAGATAATATGCACAGTGTTTTCTGGACGGAAGGGTGCCAATTCACCATTACAAAATGAGAGGCACAAAACGGTGGCCAGGAAAAACCATAGTTTAAGACTACAGTTCCAGCTCTTAGAATTGCTGGTCAAGAAGACTCAATCAGCACCGGATTTAGGGCAGTGCAGTGCATCCCCTGCACAGTATGCCAAGCCGAACGGGCACATCACAACACCTATATTATATGTGTACCTACTGAGAAGATCCATAAAAAGCTACTGTACCAAAAGAAATTATTGTGTAAATAAGAAATAATGGTTGGGTGTGTGTGTGCCAAATTTTGTCATCACTCAGGGCCTCACTCTGTCCACCCCTGACTCAATGACACCCGTAACAACAGGCACAACCTCTTCAAGGCTGAGTAGCCAAGAAATTCTCCCACTGCTGTGAATTCGACAATTAGGCAACATGCTGTGTGGGGGGAAGGATCTCTAATGTTTTAAATTTACCAGCTGCACTTCCTAGCAATTACAAATGAACAGGAAAAAAAGGACACATGAAACATGGACCTCCAGGCAGTCTTCAAGAGCAACCTTCAAAATAGAAAGGATGTTCGGAGTATTTTTTAAAGCTCTCGTGAAGATTATGGGAACTAGAAAGTCCCTTTTGCTGAAACTAGCCATGGGCGACTTCAGAACTGGCTTGGTATCTACAAGCTTTTTTGGCAAGCATCTGAATGGGGAAAAGCTTGATTTGCTTTTAGGGAGTTCTCTCCTGGCTTGTCATATGCCAGAGACCCTTTAGGTACCCAAGGAAGCTGTCTTAGGCCAAGGCACATTATCTCTCCCTGTATTGTCTACATCAGCCTTTGCCAACCTGGTACCTGTCTCTGATGTTTCAGACTACATCTATTATCAGACCCAGCTAGCCTGACCAAAAGTCAGGGATGGTGGGATAAGAAGTTCACTACATCTGGGGAGCAGCAGATATGGGGAGGCTGGCCTATACTCACTGGCAGCGGCTCTGCAAGAGCTCAGTCCAGATAATAGGGCAGTGGTTCAAAAAGTAAGAATTAGATAGATTTGTGAAATAAATAAAAAAGGTTTATTGACAGGGCATCACATGGCATTCAGGCAGTCTTTATCACAGTATGATAAAATGGGCAAACTTCATGCCTATTTGTATGGATACAAAGTTTTTCAAGACTCTTTATTCAGGCCATTTCTCAAAGTTGCATCCAGAGTGTGGAAGGCCACCTGGTCACGATTAGACCCTATCAACACATGTTCTAAGGAAACAAACAACAGGAGGAGGAGATGACAGGGTACAGCACAGGGAGAGAAACAGAAACACCATGGAAATGGGGGTGGGAAGTCGGGGGGTTATTATGTATTGAAATCTATGTGTGAAATTTTGGGAAACTTAATAAAAAACTTCACAAAGGAAAAGAACAGGAGGAGGAGGAAGGAGGAAATCTATTTAACCATTATAGCAGTGCCACTGTCAAAACGGATCAGCGACTATAAGGAAAGCATGAGCAGTCAGAAGCGGTTCATCCCCCTGATGACTATAGAAAGGCTTGGGCAAAACTAGCCTGGGAAGGTTTATGCTGAATGGGTTTTCCATCTCCCATGCAAACTAATATAGTCAGCGCAGGCGGGAAACTATCAGGAGAGGGCAAAACTGCCACCTTCAGGTTCCCTTATTTTCTCGTTTTTCCCAGTCTTAAATTCACTTCTCCACATTTCCACATCAGTCTGAGATTCTTAAAAAATAAGCCCACATGAAAATTCACCAGCATTTTAGTGCAAATTTATCCTAATATTCACATGCAATTTTATGTTAATATACACTAGTTTGAAAAGCAATATCCCCTAACATAATGCTTTTTGTGTTATTTTCACCAATGCATACATTTTTCTGCATGCTTTACTATGTGCATTTTTGTATTTGGCTGAAGATCTGCATTGTAAAATCTGGAGAAGCATGAATTTCAAAGGACAACTGTGTTTTGGTTCACATATTTATTAAACAGTGTGAATTAGTCAGCTTTGCCTTTAACTTCAAATTGAATCAAATTTCCCCCCTACCCTTACAGACCACCTCTAGAAAATTCGCTCAGAGCAATCCTGAGTAGTTCAAGGCAATCAGGCAGTGATTAGCTTATATGACATACATACATGAGGGTGGAGATGTTGTGGCTCTTTAGTGGAAGAAGGCTACAATGGCCTACCCTCCTAGCTTTGCAGAGAGATGGTTTCCCCCCTTTTGATAATGAAAACAATAAATGTTAAATTTGGCCAAATCTTCAAAACATGTTGGATATAAATGATCTCGGGGGGGGGGGGGGGGGAGGCAGCACAGGTTTCAGCAAGTGCTGAGGTCCTGAAGCTGCTGAGGGACTCTCCAAACCGATCAATGGAAGAGGCCGAGTGCGAGGAAAGCATCTCCTTCCCAAAAAAGACCACTGCCACAGAAACACAGCAACCCCAGCGTTACCATATTTTGTGGTCATTTTATTCCTCTATAGTGCCCTGGAACAACTCAACTTCAAGGGCATTGGGAGGAGGTGAACCAAGATGTTTCAGGAAACCGGCCCCCAGTACATATTTCTAATTGTAAAAGGGCCCCCAATGTAGGCATATGTGGTGAAAGGGAGCACCATCGTTTTGCCCCGAGTCCCCTCAACCTTTGAATCCTAGAATTGTAGAATTGGAAAGGACCGCCAGGGCCATCCAGCCCAAACCCCTGCAACTCAGGAATCTTTCGCCCAACATTGGCCTTGAACCCACAACCCAGAGATCAAATGTTTCCTGCTCCAATGACTGAGAGGCAGTCCAGTTTGGGAATGACTATCTGAGGCTTCAATGAGTTAATGGAGTGGGTGAAATTGACCTGACTGGATCAGAACAGTAAACCAACACAACACCAAGTATCCTACTGGCTTTCTTAGATTTGCTTTTCCTCTGTTCCCTCATCACTCCTCATTTGGGGTTCTGCTTTTGGTCATAACAGATGAGCTCCCCCCTTTAACAGTACTATATGCCTGACCCAAGTCCTGCCATTCACTTTCTCTGGCCTCCTACTAAAGAAGTAAAAATACATTGGGCATCTGACACAACTTGGTTCAGATTAAACCGGAATAACATTGGCAGTTTGTAGCCTTCAGGTTCTGAAGTTTCAGAGAAGGCACTGTCTCCATGAAAGGTGACTGTGTGAAAAGTCTTATGAAAGGTGGTTATTTGGCAATATCCAGATTGAAAGAGGCTAGACGTGATCATCTTTCCAGGGCTGGTGAATCCTGTTCAACCCTTGCAGAGAAACTATGGAGGCAAACCCTTCCCGGAAACCACTGCCAGTAAGAGCTCTAAGGAAACACGTCAGGCTATCCTTCTTTTGGGCCCCAACATCACACTGGCCTGTCCAAATTGTAGTGGCTGGAGCTGGGCCCCAAGGCTGGATTTTGAGGAGAACCATAGTTGAGGGGGGCCTGTGGCTGCTTTGCTCTGAGTCTCAAACCAGCCAGGCTTGAGTTGCAGGGGTCTCTGTACAAGAACTGTGAGGCACTCGGTCCATACGGTGAACTGGGAGGCCCAGAAGGGCTTGCCAGGCTGTTGAAGGTTTCCAGAGATGGGACACCAGATGTGGAGGCTGCTGAAGCTGCTGGGAACACACCTTGGGGTGGAAAGGAATTGATGTTCACGGAGTTGAAGAGCTGGAACCCTTTGCTATGGATGGGGTTGGCATGCAGCCCCTTGGGAGCCCAGGTACTGTAGGCGTAGGTTGGGTAAAGGTCCTCATATGGGTTCCTTGTCAAGACGTTGAGCTGGGAGCTGAACGGCCCTTTACAGAGCTCTGTCTGCTGGTGACGCTCCTTTTTCCGCCACTTGGCTCTGCGATTCTTAAACCAAACCTTGAGGGAGAAAAAGGAAGAAAGAAGCAGAAAAGAAAATTCTACTCTCTAATGCAGTGGTCCGTAAAATTCAGTGGCTGAGTGAACTGATTAAGAATTTCCTTTTGTCCACATTTTTAATCAAACTGACTTAATTCGTTCCTCAAACAAATAAACTGGCCGATACAAAATTATTGTTCAGATTTAGTACTTCTCTAGATTTTGTGGTATTATTTGTGGCTCAAAAACATACAAAAATGCCTTATGAATGTGCATTTTAGGATAAAATACATTTACAAGTTTACATTGAGATAGTTTTTTATTGTGCATATGGAATTGTAGAAAACCACATTGATATGTTTTATGAAACTGCAGTATACAGTGGTACCTTGGTTCTCAATCGCCTTGGTACTCAAACAACTTGGAACCCAAACCCTGCAAACCCTGAAGTAAGTGTTCTGGTTTATGAACTTTTTTCAGAAGCCAAACATACTCCATTTTGAGTGTTACACTTCTGATTTGAGTGCCACACTTCTGTTTTGAATGTTAGGCTGAGGTCTGTCTGTTTTTGCTATTTTGCGGCTTTTTTGTTCTGTTTTTGTATCTGTGTGGAACCCAGTTCAGCTACTGATCGATTGACTGATTGTGTGACTGCAGTACATTGTTTATTGCTTTCATTTTATGGATCAATGACCTCGTTAGATAGTAAGATTCATGTTAAATTGCTGTTTTAGGGGTTGTTTTTAAAAGTCTGGAACAGATTAATCCATTTTGCATTACTTTCTATAGGAAAGCACACCTTGGTTTTAGAACTTTTTGGAACGGACTTCCAGAACGGATCAAGTTTGAGAACCAAGGTACCACTGTACAAGTATTTACATATATTTTTATTTGTTCATTTATACCCCACCTTTTTTTCTGATAGGACTCAAGGCTTAGTCATTTAGGGATTTAAACACTAATGTGAACACCATAAACCGGGCCTGAAAATGAACTGGTAACTAATGCAGCTGTTTTTAAACAGGAGTCTGTGAGCTCTAAATGGAACCTCAGCATTTTGGACTGATTGAAGTTTCTGAGTCATCTTCAATAATCCAGTCTGGAAGTTACCAGAGCATGGAATACTGTGGCCGAGACATTTCTATCCAATAGGCATCATAGTTGGTAGATCAGGCAGAGCTGGAATGAGGCACTCCTAGCCACTGAAGCCATCTGAACCTCCAGGGACAGAGTTGAACCCAGGAGCACAGGGCAGACCTGCTCATTGCAAGAGTGCGCAACTCCATCTCCCAGGTGTGAGAACTTGGGACACACAACACCTTTCTCTTTTCAGAATTCAGCTTCAGTTTATGGACCCACATTCATTCCATCACTGCCTCTCCCGATTCAAATGGGACAGAGAGATAGAGCTGGATGTCATCCTTTTATCTGACACCTCACTCCAAATCTCCAGGTGATAGTTCCCAGCAGCTTCATATAGATGTTGAATAGCAGGTAAGGAAATATGGAACCCTGCAGGACACTACAGGCCAGTTCCCTTGGTGCTGAACAGCAGCTTCCCATAGCTATTTTCTGGAAATGGCCCTGGAAGTAGAAGTGGAACCACTGAAGCACAGTGCCTCCAATCCCCACCTCCCAGAGGTGCTCCAGGGGGATACCATGGTCAGCAGTATCAACATCCGTTGGGGATCCAAGGAGAATGAGCAGGGTCACACTGCCTTTGTCTCTCTCTCAACAAATGCCATCAACCAGGGTAGCCAAGGCAGTTTCAGTGACCTGGCAAGTGCTGAAGCCACTGGAATGGATCCAAGTAATCGGTTTCCTCCAAGCATACCTGAGGTTGGACCGCCATTTAAATATGATGCCTACAGCATAGCATGAATTATTATTCTCTAATGCTGTAGCTTTTTATGGGAGACAATATTCACACCACACATTCTGAGTGACTAAAAGCTGCCTACACCAGCAGAAGTGCCACAGCTGCCAACTTGGTGCTCCCATTAGTGCAACTGCATTGCCCTGACCTCACTCCTGCCCTGCCCCAGCAATTTCTAGAGGCCCCTCCGGTCTGGTGTTTGTTTGTTTTTTGCAGACGTATTCTGCAGCATGTCGCTGATGCAATAATTGTGCATTAGCATTTCACTTATTGTAAGAGAGACAATATTTCATGCCCCCCTTCATGTTCCCCCAAATTTTCAGTTTTTCAATTGGAAAAATGAGAGACAAGGCTTGGGGGGGAATGGGGTGTTGCTTTTTTCTGACCCCACCCCAGCTTTTGCATCTCTAATTACACTTGCTGCCTGTCTCAACACAGCTCTCCGCTCACCCTGATCCTGGGCTCCGTCAGATTGGTCCAGCCTGCAATCTCCTCCCTGGTGGTCATGTCTGGGTAGCGATTCCGTTGAAAAGTGGCCTCCAGCTCCTGGAGTTGCTGGCTAGTGAAATGAGTCCTCTGCCTACGTGGCTTCTTCTTCCCCACGTTGGCCTCCTCCTCACTGCTGGAATCTGAAGATTTGCACTGAGAAACCTCACCATTCTCTCCTGTAACGAACCAGGAACATGGGAGATGTCAGCATGTCAAGCTCACTACCTGCCTTCTGTATTGATTTTATGGTATTTCATGCTTTTTGCATTCACAGATTTTATTGTACATCACCCTGATTTCATTTATTATATTCCTTTGCCACTTTTCACTCACACAGCTCACATGACAAATAACACAACGACATAATTACAACACAAATCATATTGACAAATCATCAGTAAAACAACCATCTTCTCTAGAACACTCTTAACAAAACAACAACAAAAATAAGCTAAACAGCACAACTTTCTGCATTGGAAAAAGTAAACTGAAGAGCACTGGACAGCTGGGAAAACAATGACCAGTAAAGGGATTTCTAACTGAATAACCTAGATTGAGCATTTGACTATTTTTAAGAAATATTGTATACACAACTGACAAATGATGTCCTTTTATCTATTTCTTTCTTTTTTTTCTCTCCTTACTTTTCTCTCAGATGAAGGGGAAGGACAGTTTAGACCCTGTGTGAGAGGCAGGTCATGGGAGATCTCCCGGGGTGGGAGGCTGTGGGAAGAGAAGGATGAGCCCAGGTGAGAGTGGGGAAGGCACACTTTCCTCTGTAGGGGATAAAAGCTAAGTTATAGTGATGAGGGAGGATCTTGTAGTTTTTTCTTCAGTTTCTTCTTTCTTTAGTTTCTTTCTTCTCTTTATTTCCTGTAGGTTAATTTGCTTCTTTTATTGTGAAAACTTCAAAAAACAAAAACAAAAAAACAAGAAACTCCCCCCCCCAACAACCAAAAACAAAGCACTGTTGAATACATCTATTTAGTTTAAGAGGCAGTCTAAAGTATTTTTCTAAATAAATAATTGCTATGTTCTCTAGGGGAAAGATCTGTAGAGGTACCTACAATGAGGCTAATTTTGCTTACTTCAAACATTACAAACAATTTTTTATTACTCAACTGGATAACCTGGAGTAACTTTCCACCCAGGAACCTTTATCACAGCTGTGGCATTGACTTTCTGCACTATAAAAATTATAGTTCGACACAATACTTTACAATGCTGCACTGCCCCCCCCCCTGAATTGTACGCTGAACACACCCACAGGCAAAACCAGTGGTTTTTTTAAAAAAGGGGAAAAAAGTTGCTGGTACTCACCATAAAGTTGCTACAATGCCACACTTTTAACATTTGGGGGAAAAGAGACGACAGTACATATTGTGCATCCTTGAGTACCCCCAGAAAAATAGCACTAAACAAAACCCTCCTATAAAGCTTATTGAGAAGGAAATCCCTTTTATTTATTTTTTAATTTTATGCTATATGCTTACGTTTTATCAAAAAGGTTCACAATACATCAATTCCATAGATAAGGGAAGGAAAGAGAAATTTCAACACAATACAGTACAAAATAAATTTGCAATTCATATAAAGCAGCAGCAAGTTGCCCAACATTAGATTCCTCCTCCTTTAAAAAGCGTAAAACTTATTTACAGATCCCCTTAAGACACTGTCACTATTCTACATCCTTACATTTTAAAACATTCCTTTATTCCTAGCGCTTTATAGTAACACAAGTAGGAGGTTCTCATTTGTAAACATTTTCAATCCCAGGTTTATGCCTTATGTTAGGATTTAAAAACAGAGCATATAAAACCTTAGAAGGGTAATGATAAAATATTCAAGATTCAGGAAAGTTGTGAAAGTTAATTTCACCTGAAGGAAAAATTTGTCCTTACGCAGGACTTCACATTAGCTACTGAAACAGCTAACCCAAGTTAGCTGCACATTGGTGCATTTTAGCTGGGCTTGTGTGCTGAATCCTGTATAGCAGGTTCCAGTGAAATAAATAAGTTTTTTTGGTGTACTGTAGTGCTGCCACCATAAAAGTGGCGATTTCCCCCATAATTCCACAACAAATAATGTTAAACAGACATTAGTGGCAAGGCAGAAAACTTGTAATTATCAGTGTAATTATCACGTGACTGTTTAACCATGACTTGTAGGCAGAATACTGTCAGTCAAGGCTCCTGAAGTTGGAAACCCCCCCCCCCAATCTAAAAGACACAGGAATAAAGTCTCTTTCACACGAACTTCAACCATTTTTGGTCCAGACTCTGCTGGCGAAGCTCTCAAATCCTTCATGTTCAACTTGACGAATTCTCTTGTTCATTTCAAAACAGTTCCAGGCAGGTTACTAAGCAAGCAAACGTTTCCGAGCAGCATCCTGCAGATAGATTGTGGAAACCGATTCTGGGATCCGTCCTCCTGTCGAGGCTCCTTCTAAGTCTTCCCAACTCTGCCAGGTCTCGAGGCTCATGAAGCTCCCTGGTACCCGAAGAAGTCTGCAAGCACACGAAAGCTCATACCAACAACAAACTGAGCTGATCTCTAAGGTGCTACTCGAAGGAATTCCTCCGTTTGGTTTCGACTACGGCAGACCAAGACGGCTACATACCTGTGACTAGAAGGCAGAGCGGCAATTTAAAAACGACAAAGGCTGCTGGAATGGGGGGGAATGGTGCAAAGCGCGGGCGAGGGCGAGACTCGGCCCTCGGGGGCTTCGCGGGGGCCGCCTGCCCCGCCGCCTCTCAGTCCCGCTTGGCCGCCCGCCCCTGCCGCGCGCCCTCGTTCCAGGCCGCGTAGACGAAGAGCGCCAGCACGGTGTGCACGGCCAGCACAGCCAGCACGGCGCTGTAGAAGTAGCCGTCTCTGGTCGACATGCCCAGGAGCCCCTCGAAGAGGTAGGCCTTGGAGAAGAAGTAGAGCCCGATGGGCAGCAGGATCATCAGCGTGGTGAAGAAGAGCAGCGTCTTGAGGGTCGAGGCCAAGTTGGCCTCGAAGCGGGGCTCGGGCCGGGCGGCCTTGGCGTCGCGCTCCATGACAGAGAAGAGACGCGCCGGGCCTCGCCGCAGAAGGGAACCGGAGGGAGCTGCGCGCGCGGAGAGCGGCCACGTCAGCTGACGCCTGCCCTTCCCGGCCTCCCCCGCGGCCGCCGGTCAGGTGACCAAGGAATGGCCCTTCTAGCAATCGCTCCCTCGCTGTTTCGTTGCTTCCAGTTCCCGTGTTGCTGAGGGCGGGGGAAATCAGTAATGGATTCCCCTTTGGGGAATCCATTACTGCTCCCTGGGAGAGGGGTGTTCATTACTGGTCACCTTGATGGATTTCCCCTTTTATTTATTTTGTAGGACAATAAGCTATTTCACATACAAAGGAGAAAGAGAGAGTGTTCACTTTCCCCTGAGTGGGCAGCGAATATTAAGGACAATTAACCATATTTACTTGAATCTAATGCTCACCTTTTTTGGCCAAATTACATGGTGAAAATTCAGGTGTGCATTTGATTCAATGGCACATTTACATTCGCCAGCAAATGCTTTTTTTGGGTTTCAAGGTTCTGAAAACAGGTGCGTGTTAGATTCGATACAAAATAAAAAAAAATTCCTTCCAGCAGCTCCTTTAGAGACCAACTAAGTTTGTTATGGGTGTGAGCTTTCATGTGCATGCACACTTCTTCAGATACCTGTTCGATGGCGCATTAGACTCAAGTAAATACGGTATTCACTAATCCACCAGCCACACTGAAAGGGAAGTTACCGGTATGCAGTGGGCTGAACCTGCAAACAGGAAGCTCAGAGACCCTTAAAACTGTAGCAACAGCCTGCCTGGTGTAGCCATAACATACACTTCTCATTCCAGAGAAAAGGGCCAGAGCAGAAGCAACCTTAATAATCTCATTCACACTCTTTAGGCCAATTAACACATTTCTTCTTATAACCAGCTTCAAGAATGTGTCACTGATCTGAATAACTAGCAACACATGGGCCATAGGTGACCACAGACTGCAGTTTTTCCAAAACTGTCTGAAAGTGCAGGTTTTTACAAGGGGATACAAACACAGTGCTTACAACAACCTGAAATCCGTAACTAGGTCTGATTTATTTTTGGATTACTAATTAAAATGCCTCATTGTTCAAATCTTCTATGGATGTTTGTGGAAAATACATGAAATGAACTTTTCCCCACGACTTTAAAGTTGATTAAAGTATTTGATCAATGTGCATTTGTGTAATAGTGTAAGTAGGTTGTCCTTCCCTTATACCTCTTCCATGAAATTCATGTTTTAAAATGTCAAGGCTTGCAAAAGCAACAACAACAACAACAAAAAGTAAGATACAAATTTTGAATCAAGAATCCATTTAGTAAGTAGGCTTATACTGTATTTGAGGGGAGTGGGGGAGAGATGTTCCTTTCATTAAAGAATTTCTGGGGCCTATTGAGCCATTCTAAAAAAGAAATCCCTTAAATAAAATAAAACGTTATTTTCAGGAGGGTTTTGCATTTCATGCAGCACAGGAGGCAGTGATGGCCACCAAACGTGGATGGCTTTAAAAGAGGCCTAGACAAATGCATGGAGGAGCAGAAGGCTATCAGTGGCCACCAGCCACAATGTTCTCTGAATGTCACTTGCTGGGAGTGGCAGGTGCGCCAAGAGCGCACAGGATGCTGTACTAAGTGAGCCATTGGCCTGATCCAGCAGATGCTCTTTTCAAGTTCTTATTTACCTGCCTGCTGTTAGGAACACAAGGGACACAAGGGAGATCCTATAGGCCTGGAGTCTGCCTGCACCTGGCCTGTGGGGACTGGGAGTGACTCTCTGGGGTTCTCTTGCACCTCCTTGGTGGTCCTGGTGTTCTGTTTCCTATGAGCTTCAGCCCTTCCCAGAGATGACAGAGGCAGCTGCCTTACCCAAAGGCAAACCACTGAGTCCATCTAGCAGAGCATCGTCTATAATAGCTGAAAGAAGGTCGACTGGATTTTGAGGAGACTCTGCTTGGAGAAAATGCTGCAGACTGAAACGTTTTCCGTACAAAGCATGGGTCTTATCCAGGGGTCAGCAACCCTTTTTAGCCGTGGGCTGGTCCACCGTCCCTCAGACCATGTGGTGGGCCAGACTATATTTTTTTGGGGGGGAGGGGGATGAACGAATTCCTATGCCCCACAAATAACCCAGAGAAGCATTTTAAATAAAAGGACACATTCTACTCTTGTGAAACCATGCTGATTCCCAGACCATCTGCGGGCCAGATTGAGAAGGCGATTGGGCCGCATCCAGCTCACTGGGCTTTGGTTGCATAATCCTGGTCTTGTCCCTGGGCCTCTGCTAGGTGTGCCCTCCTCACACAGGCTCTTACACATTTGTGTGGGGCTGGCTGTGATGGGGAGCAGCAACCACCAGCTCCTCCTCAAACAATATTTAAAAGGTAAAGGTACCCCTGACTGTTAGATCCAGTCTGGGGTTGTGCGCTCATCTTGCTCTATAGACCGAGGGAGCCGACGTTTGTCCACAGACAGTTTTTCCAGGTCATGTGGCCAGCATGAATAAGCCGCTTCTGGCGAACCAGAGCAGCGCACGGAAAAGCCGTTTACCTTCCTGGCAGAGTGGTACCTATTTATCTACTTGCACTTGACGTGCTTTCCAACTGCTAGGTGAGCAACGGGAGCTCACCCTGTCACGGGGATTTGAACTGCCGACCTTCCGATCAGTAAGCCCAAGCGGCAGTGGTTTAACCCACAGCGCCTCCCACATCCCATATTTACCTCTCTCTAAAATACATTGTCAGGAACAGCCCAAAGATGTAGCAAATATGCTTTATTTTTACATTAAAGCACTGTATACAGCTGCTTGGTTTCTTATACCTGTAAGTGAAGCAGCAGCACAGGGGAGAGAGGGTGTCCCTCTTCCACATCTGAAATAATCACTCTCAATAGCTTTCAGCCTTGTAAAGCGGAGCGGATGGGGGGAGGATACAGGTATCTGACCATTTGTACATATGCTGCAGGCTACCAACAGCTTTAGGAAGGAATTATTTGGGGAAATGATGTGGTTAAAATTCTGGGCTGGCCCTCATATTGGGCAGAGTGAGGCAGCCGCTTCATATGGTGTGTTGTGCATTGAGTCAAAGGATTTTATATCTGTATTATTATTATTGTCTGTATTTGCATTAGGGTAAAGTAACTGTCTTTTGGTTCCAAAGGGTACAGCTACTATTGGTTCATTTAAGCTGCTGTATTTGGATCCTCTGTCTTATTGGTTTCCTCCAAAAGGCAGGACTGTGATTGCCTGATATTGTTCCCTCCAAAATGTATCCTTTCTAGCTAGTTCCCTGTCCCTATAAATGTAGCTCTTCCCTCCTCAGGTCTTAGTCTTGTTTGCTTAAATAAAGAAGTGTTACTAGAGAACTGACTCCAGCATATTATGTCAAGAGAGCTGAAATCACAAACCCCACGTCACAACATGGTGGATGTGAGGGGTGGGAAGTGTGGCAACAAACTGCTTGAAGGCAGAATTTTTGTGTGCCACACAGGCTGCCCTGTGCCCCCTAAGCTTGCCAAATGTCCTCAGGTTTTGTGAAGGAAACGAACCTAAAACAAGGTTCAGCTGTTGCTAGTCTGATCAGCTTCACTATATGGAAGCAGGAGAGGCCTGTGCTGCCTCAGGCAGCAAAACGTATTGGACCAGCCCTATTAAAATCCTCGTCTCCCCTAATGCCACTGCTCCAGTCCGAATTTGATCCCTCTCTTCGGTGTGGCTGGGGAGGTTGGTCATGAGGCAGAAAAGCCAAGTGTCTTCCTTCCCATCACCTCCACCACCTTGCCCATTGGTAGAAATATTATTGCACTTCAAGAAAAAAAAGGTTGACACCATTTCCTACCCTTTCATGGCATTTCAAATCTGCCCCTGTGTGCCAGCTGCCCTGGCAGTGTCAAGCATGGCTGACAAGCACCTACAATTGCTTATTCTGTCCAAGCCGATGGAAGTGTTTATGAGCATAACAGGAAATAATGATAAACAGGAGTTTAATAACTTTCTCCTTTAACCTAAGCTAATCCTGGGTGCTTGCATAGACTGAATTGCAGGGTCAGGTGTTACACTGCAAAGCAGGAGCGATTAACCCAGGACAGGCTGTCCTGAGACAATTTGTTTGTCATTCACCTCTGGGACGCTGATGTTCCCAGCTAGAGTTAACTGGCCAGTTTCAGTCTAAAGGACAGGCTAACATACTAAGATTTTCACTGGCTCCTGTCCATTTCCTGCCTCTGTGAGGTGAGTGGCTACTCAGGAGAAGAGATCGGCAAATCTGACTGTTTCAGTTTCTCTCAAATTGAGTTCTTCACATTACCATATTGGTTTGCAGGGTTGTCTTTAAAAAAATAAAACACTTGTGAAAATTAATGAGCATTTTTGAATTTCTACTGCACAGATTTTTGCACACAATCTTGCCTAGTAGACACATTTTTGCAAAGGAATTTTCTCAGTTATACTGCACTTTTCAATAATTTTCACTAATGTATACATTTTTATGCACAGTTCACCTGAGTAAATACATTTGTGCACATATTACTCGGCTGGAGAATTGCATTTCAAAAATAAGAGAAGTGTGAATTTTTAAAGGAATGGTTGTGTTTCAGTTCAGGGATTGTTTCAGAAAGTGAGAATTAGTTGCTGAATTGAATTGCTCCCAATCCTTATTAGGGAGAGGGCCTTTCTCATCAGTGACACTCCAGGTACACTGGAGAGGCTCACCTGGCACCTTCAGTGCCAGCTGAAGGCCTCTTTGTTCTCCCAAGGTTTTAAAATCTGAATTTCTATCACACTGGTTGTATATAAAAAGTGCTGCAATTGTTCTTATAATTCATATTGAAATTTATAGTTTTATCTTTGTGAGCCACTCAAATAATTATGTTATTGGTCAGCCTCTATAAATTCCTTAATAATTATTGTAATTGAAAGTACAATATATATTTTTCTATATCCCTGACTAACACAGCTCTCTAAGATACCTGCTCTGACTGAGTAGAACAAAGCCCTATCTTGTATGTCAATCTGGGTAATTTCTGAGAAGCTTGCAAGGAGGGCATGAAGACAACACCTATCCCCTCTTACTTATCTCAACACTTGGTACCCAGAGATACAGTGCTTCTGAACAGGGAGGTTCCACTTAGCTATCATATTTAATAGCTTTCTTGTGAAAAAGTATATCCTGAATCTGTTGCCTGCCTGTCAACTTCAGTGGGTGACCCCATGCTCTGGAAGGAGAAAGGGACAGGCCTTTAATTCCACTCTGCCTTTTCACAGGAGGAGGCATCATTTTTAAAAGCCTCTTCCATTGGCACAAAGGCACATGTGCCATGTTGTGACATGTGCAAGGCCACTGTGAGCCAAGAGCACCTGTGTTTGGGATGCTGTCAACATTTAAATTGTAAGCTCTTTGGGGCAAGGGCTTGACATTCTTGCTAATATTACTTTGCCTCCCACCACATGCAGTACTGGAGTACAGAAGAGTATAAACCCTCTGAATTAGGTCAAATCTCTGCAGGGCATACTTGCCCTTTCTACTTCCAATTACTCTTGCATGGCTTGACGTTGAAGTAAATGAAGGATTAGAAAATATCTCAGATCAAGAGAGTATAAACGGAAAAACAATTATCTATTAATACTACTCCAGAAAGCATGCAGATCTGAAGGAAGATGGTCACACCAGCAACTGGGCCCAAATATAGATAAGATCTTAAGGATCTGTGGTGTTCCCACTGCTCATTTCAAAATATTGTCCTGATTTCCTGTTCTTCCCTCACTTAATTCTGTTTCTTTGCCACAATCCCATATATTTTCAGGATTTATTCTTGGCCTCCCATTCTTGAATCCCAGATTACTTAATCCATAAAAGCTCCGGCTCCCTGGTTCTTTAATTGCAGTTGCTAACACAGTCAGGAATCTCTGTTCTAGACTCTAACCATGCATTGAGAAAGTGGAAACTAATTCCTCCCTTTGCTGCTCTGATTATGTGGGCAGGAGTTTGGATGAGGCTGGAAAGAAATGCTACTTTTCTCAAGAGAACTGAAAGAGGGATCACCATTGCTATATGCATGTACACACTCACCCAGGTTTCACCACCGGCACCCAGCCTTTGCAGGGTTCCAGGTGGTATAAGAAACCTGCTGGATAGGTTGTGCAACCAGAAGTGACAGTGGAACGAAATAAGTAGGTGTGCACAGTATGGATACCTCTTTCTCGTTCTTTTTTCAGTTCCCTTTACTTCCCTCCAGCCTGCTGCAAATTTATGATGTTGCTCATCTGTGCTAACTAAAGGATTACTTTCAGAGGCACCACCACTCCCCGAACCAATGGCTTGGGAGCCCCCAAGAATGCAGGTCTCTTTGATTCCATGCCTTACCTCCACTCTCTGTGCTGGGTGTCCCAGCCAGAGCTCTTGGTGGTATCCCATCGGTGGCCCCATCTGCAGCTTGCAGCAATGTTGACATACTCCCAAAGGTGCAAAGACAGGTCCCTGTGTTCAAGCCCCACCGCTTGGAAGCAGAACCACGATGCCTCCTACTCCACAAAATCTCTCTGGCCGGCAGAGCCCGATGCGTCTGTTCTGCTTTGCTGATGGGAGATGAGCATGGAAGAGGCCGTCCAGGCTAAGGAATCCCTTCCCACTGGCTCTTTGAAATCAAAATCCTTACTGGTTGTGAACCTCTGTCCAGGGATCTCCTTCATGGAGCCCCGTTAGCCATATTCTAAAGTCTTAGCCTTCCTCCACCAGGACCACCCTAAGGTCTGACTCTTCCCTCCACCAAAGAGGTTTGCAACTTCTTGGGGGCTATTTTGCTCCCAGGGAGCTGCTGTTTTTCAACCCACCTCCCCTCTCACATGTTTATTTCTCTTTCCCAGGGCTGGCTTGTTCTTTAGCGCGGCAGGAAGGGTGTGTGTGTGTGTGTGTGTGTGTGTCAAATATCAGGGACAGCTGAGTGCAATCTAACCAGGTGCCAATCAGGCATGGTCTCCACAGCGGGCTGGGGAAGCTGGATGTGGGGATGGATGAGAAGATGGCAGCTGGGGAGGCCAGTGTTTTGTTCAGCTTGTGCTCGTTGGAGGAGGAGACGCTGAATGTGCGCCATTTCGGCACCAGTTGTCTCTCTGTTTACATTTCCCATTTGGAGTTTCATTCATCCTTGTGGCTTGCCTCTGACACCACTTAATGGGAGAACAGAAGAACTGTCCTGTGAGAGGAGATCAAAGGTCCATCGAGCCCAGGATTGTGTTTCCAACAGTGGGCAGTCAGCTGCCTCAGAATATAGGGATGGGGGAAAGACATTCAGTTTGGTTCACATTTTTAATGCAAACTGACCTAGTTTAAGGATGGGAGAGAAATTCCATTCAATTCGTGTTGAAAGGCACTTTTTCAAAATGCTATGCAAACTGAAATGCAGCTATCCTTCAAAATTCTCACTTGTCTAATTTCTGCAATGAAGAAATTCTCCAAGGGAAAAAAATGTGTACAAAAATTAGGGGAAAGTGTTCATAAGAATACATGTATCAGTGAAAACATATAAAACTGCATTATATTATGAGATGCGGGTGGCGCTGTGGTCTAAACCACTGAGCCTCTTGGGCTTGCCGACCAGAAGGCCGGTGGTTCAAATCCACGCAACGGGGTGAGCTCCTGTTGCTCTGTCCCAACTTCTGCCAACCTAGCAGTTTGAAAGCACATCAGTGCAAGCAGATAAATAGGTACCACTGTGGTGGGAAGGTAAACAGTGTTTCCAGGCACTCTGGCTTCTGTCACTGCTTCCGCCAGAAGTGGTTTAGTCATGCTGGCCACATGGACAGCTGTCTGTGGACAAATGCCGGCTCCCTTGGCCTGAAAAGCAAGATGAGCATTGCACCCCATAGTCACCTTTGATTGGACTTAACCGTCCAGGGGTCCTTTACCTTTACCTTTTTACCTTTATATTACGAGAAATATATTGCAAAAATGTGTGTAATAAGCTACATTGCAAGAAAGGTATGAATTTGGATAAATGTGCAGTAACATGCTATCAAATTTTCAAGAGGACCTAAAAAGAATATTTTGAAATGAAGTTCCATGGTCTGGGGAGGATGGTCAGTCCCTCTCATTTGTCCTCAGACTTTGACACACAAAGAAATAGTATCTCTAGACACAGGAATTCCATTTAACTATTGTCACAAAAAATGGTGCAATGTGAACGGCTTCTGTTCACTACATTCCATTCCCCATCCCCATCCCTATTTCCCTCCTTCCCACCTCCTGAATAGTTAGTTAGCATTCGGTGCTCACGGAGTGTGCTCAGTCTTCATTGGCTTATTTTGGAATTGCCCCTCCTGCATTTCTTTTTATTCTTTGGGGTGGGGGCATTTGAGGGTGAGTGGGCCCACTTGTGCCCAACTGAAGCTACATAAAATCTTTGATTTCGTCATTGATGCTAATAGGCAGCTCCCACTTCTGTTGCAGAAGGCCCTTTAAAATAGCTTCTGTGAATTGGGAAGTTACCTAGCCAGACAATGATACTGTTCTTTCTACTTTTAAATATAGCTATGTGTCTCCTACCCCAACCCCCCAGCTCTTTCCATCCATTCCATTCAATTGCTGGACTTCAACACTCAGCATCCCAAACCATTGGCTATGTTGACTGAGACTGATGGGAGCTGTAATCCAACAACATTGGCTTCAGGTTCTCTGTCCCTGGCCTAAAGCATGGGTTCTGTGATACAACACCACCTTACGTTGCATTGCGCACTGCAGTGGAGTCACGAATGGGAACCATGTAGGCCAAAGATGCTGGCGAGAGTAGAAGCTAAGTGGTTATTGGATGCAGATCCAGTCCCCTTCCAAACCATCAGGCAGATCTCCCCATGCCACCAGCTAACATGGAGGTGAGCAAGCAGGAAGCCTGGAAAGACTGTCTCTTTTGTCCAGGCTGGGCATCCTCTGCAAGGCTGACACAGGAGACGTATAAGATGCTGCTCCTACAGCAGCGGCTAATTAGGCCTTGAAAGATGGGATAGTTGCTTCTTTGCCATCCTAAGGATAAGGTCAGGTTTCCCCATTTCCTTTCAGTTGAAAGATTGAAGGCAACGGTATGCTCTTCACTTCTCTCCTCCTCCTCCTCCTCCTCCCAAGATATTCAGACAGACTGGCCTCTGCAAGTCACTTGGGAATCTCTTTCCTCTAGGCAGCTCAGGTTTTCTGAAATCCTCTTAATCCATGGCACTGACACCACCTCTGTAGTCTTTATCATCTGCCTTCCATAAAAGAGTTGCGGTGTATCTCCGTCCATTCTAAGTATATCCTTTCCAGACTTCCTGGGGCTCAAGCTGGGGTCTGTAGGAGATAATTGGCACTATCTTATCGGGAAAGCAGTTTTTGGAGAGTGTTGAAGGTGGCACAAGAGAGGAGGGGTCGTATGCTCCTACCACCATTATCTGTTAACAGACTTTGTAGGGTTTTGTAGAGCTTTAAAACTCAGCAAAAGCTTGTTTGACCAGAGATGATAGGGGGAGAAAGAACAAATGGGTACAACAACATGGGAAAGGATGCTTTAACCATACTACATATGATCCTGCCTTATTCTCATGCAGTAGTAGACTACTGGTCTACAGCTGAGTATTCTTGACTGGCAGTGATCAAAGAGTTCAGGCATAGGCTTTCTCCAGCCATGGATGCCACCTGAGATCCTTTTGGCTGGAGAGGCCAGCAATTTAACCTGGTTTCTTTATAAAGACAAAGCTCAGACTGGGAATCTTGGGGTCTCTGTGCAGATGCCCCATGCGGTAAACTGCAGAACTGTACATGGCAGCATCTGTCACCGTGTCCTTCCATTTTCTCCAAATTCCCAGTGCATTAAAAACATGCTGCCCCACTGGCTCTGAACAGCCTCAGCAGCTTCTCATCACACATCCTTCCTTCTTTTTCCTCCCAACAGCTGTGCTAAGGCAGAATTTGACAGACTGGAATCCATCGGCAGCTGTGACAGCTGAAAGGCCAGCCTGCTAGGAAACGTTTCACCCCTCGGCAAAAATGGCTCCAGCTCTGAAGTTTAAGGGAGGGGTTCTGTATGAAGACAAGATGCAAAGGGAATCCTCTGCATGCAAGACTGGTGACCCATCTGTCAGTGCCCCCATACTGACTTCAAGAATCTCGGGGTGGGATACATGGTTCTAAGAACATAGGAAGAGCCAACTGGATCAGTCCAATGGCCCACTTAGTCCAGCATCCTTTTCTCTCAGTGGCCATCTAGATGCAGTGTTGGAAACTCAGATATATAACCAAATGGCACCTTAAATCTAGGGGGTTGGACTAGATGACCCTCAGGATCTCTTCCATCACTACGATTATACGATTCTGTGACTACTCCTGTGATGATGGGGGACTGCGCCCAAGTCAGTTGCCAATCTGGTGCCTGGAAATCTCCACATAGTCGCAACTGGACCTGCACCAGTAGCAAAACACACCTGGCACCTGGGGGATTTCGAACACTGTCTAGATGCCTTTGAGAAACTCACAAGCAGGACATGAGCTCGCTCTCCCCAGCAAGTGGTATTCAGAGGTGATTGATAGTTTTAGCTGCTTCTCCTTATTTTATTCTCACAACAGCCCTATGAGGTTGGTTAGGCTGAAAGTGACAGGTCCAAGATCACTCAACTCCTTTCATGGCAGATCAGGAATTTGAACTTGGCTCTCCCTGGTCAAAGCCCACTATGTGCTCGATCCAATACACCCCCTATGCACATTATTCTGGAGAAGGCCAAGGTCATGGGAGTGTGTCTATGCAGTTTTAGGGCCATTTTTGTCCTTTTTTCCACTTCTGGGTTTGGGCTGATGTGCGTATGTGCGGTTGTGCACATATTGAACACATGTAAATGAGTTCCCTGTATATGCATTTTAGCCACATTACCCTAATATATACATTCTTGTTCACAATATTTGGCTGGAGAATTGTATCACAAAATTCTGAGAATTGTGAATTTTCTGGATCACATATTCTTCTAGAAAGTGCAGTTGAGGTAGGTTTGCATTTCTTTCCCATCTGCTGGGACAGCAGCAGCAGCCTCTGAGTGTCAGGAGATTTGGGTCAACAATACAAAACGGTTAATAAAAAAAAAGAAAGTCCTTCTTCATATAATACCTCTTTAACTGACCATGTTCCCCGGCAAAAGAAATGGTAAAGGCTTGTTGATGACAGAGCCATCCCTCCTATTAGGCCAACTTGTTTCTGGGCTCCACTGATTCAGACTGTGGGGAGAGAGCTCACATGAGGGGATGCTCCTCAATATAAACAAAACAAAATAAAATATCCACCTGCGTCAGAAGTTAGTATGTCAGGGAGGGACTGACATGCTCAGTTTCTGTCTGTAAAAGTCCCACTCCATTCTGGCCATTGGTGGTGCTCACCTGATCTCTGAAGGGAACTCATTCTCCAAAATGGGAGCCACCACAGAAAAGCAGACTAAAGGGGAAAAGGTTATGAGCCACGATGGCTGTGGTTGGAGGCAATAATGCTTCTGAGTGCCAGGTGCTAGAAACCACCGGAGAGGCAATTGCTCTGGTGCTCAGGTCATGCTTGTGAGCTTCCCACAGGCCACTGTCAGAACAGGTTACTGGATTAGATCCAGTAGGACTTTTCTTATATTCTTATATCTTGGAGATAACCTTGTCTCAAGCCGTTTGGGGCTTCTTAAGGTCAAAACCAGCACTTTAAGATTTGGCTCGGTAGTGAACTGAAACGGAACAGCCTAGAAGTCCCTTTAGGGTCCCCTCAGGGAAAACCTTGCGCTCCGTGTGCTCAAAGGGTGAGGGAAGGCAGAGAGCCCTGCGGGGCTTTTGCGCCTTCCTGCCCCTCTGCCCTCTTCCCACCTTTCAAGGCCCTCGCGTCTCTCCTCCTTTGGTCCTGAAACTCAAGCATGACAACCATTTTAATGGAGGGCTATTTGGAGCCAGACTGGGCTCCCTGCCACCCTGACCTTCTGGACAGGCTAAATTTGCTCTTCTGCAAACAAGTCACTTTATTTATAGCTGCGATGACAGGTCTTCGGGGCAGCAAGTGTCTCTTGCCCAGTGAACATGTGCTCTTCGTCCCGCCCCAGAGGATGAGGGGCACTGATTGGGCCCCAAGGTAATGAACTATGATGGACAGTAATCCTAGCTAAGGAGGCCGGGATTAGCTGGCTGTCATTGCTGGGAGACCCTCGTAACTCAAGCCAGCCGCCAGCTTGATTTATGAGGGGAGCTGGAATTGCTGAATCCTCTGCGCTGCTTGGCCCAGCAGGGGGCCAGAGCCCTGGCCTCTGCATAAATAAACCTGTAAAAGGTTATTCAAGCGGCCCTTGATATTGCCCCGCTGCAGGCAGTAAATATATCAGCTGCTGTCGTGTTACAGCTTCCTTGCATACCGTGGGCACCGCGTCCCCCCACGCGCCCCCGACTGAGATGTCCTCCCAAGAAGGCGGCCAGCTGGGACAAAGGGGTACCTGGGTCAGACTCCGATTGGCCTCCCAGGGTGGGGGGTGAGGAGGGGGGGTCTTGTGGAAATGGTAGCCTGGGGAAGCAAAGTGTTGCTTGCAGTGGGGTTTGGGGGGGAAGGAGGTGAAGTTGGAGGTCCAATTCAGTCCAGGCCAGAGCAAAACAGAGGAGGAAATGTGGCATTACTTGTCTTTTTTATTTATTTGAAAGATGCACATATGACTTATCCCTGCCCAGTTAGGCAGCCCTGTTGTGAGGTGCGGCATAATTTTAATATGTAACTTGTTTCTTTATGGATATGACCAGCACAGTGTTTTCCTGAATGTGTCTGGTGTCAAATTGACAGACGTGCTATCCTTACGAATGTGAAAAGCAGGCATCTGTCAGCCCTTGAAAAACAGCATTGCAACAACAGGCATAGGGGTCAAATTGGGTTAGTAGTTAATAAGTTAATAGGCAAGTGATTGGCCACTGTGAGAAAAAGATGCTGGGCTGGATGGACCACTTGCAGAGCTCTTCTTAGGTTCTCAACACATCCATCTTCGGAAATGAGCCTTTTCTTAGCCCTCAAACCACAACTCTCATTGGCTAGGGAAATGCCAATAGTTGCCGACTGCCTGTTTATACATCCATTCCTCTTCACCAAAGTCAAGGTGAAAAGGTTCTCCAAGTCAGTTCTGGGGGGTGAAAACCACTCCCATGTTCAAGTGTAACAAGAGTGTCGCTTGTTCACATTGCAAATGGCTCTAGTGACACAAAATCCATCATAAACAAGTCGGGGTGAAGGTGGTGGAATGGAGCAAAAAGGGATAAATTCTAGAAATGCATTGTGTCGGCTGTCACGTCTTGGGGCCCACAGATGAGCGAGACATTAACATAAAAAGGCTCATGTGGACAGAGCATGATGGCAGCTTGCAGGTCTTTCTTTAATAATATATTCTTTATTGAGTTTCATTATTTATACAGTTAATCCCTACATTTTTCAAGACATAATAAGCTACACACCATGAAATTAAAATAATTCAGCATCAGATAATACTGCTACACTAAGTCATAAACTGTTTAGTGACAACTTCCCTCCACCTCATTGCGGCTCCTTACTGCTTCCTTATCTTTTTTACTGTGTCCTTTTTCCTTTTAATTCGTTGGTCTTTCATAATATACAATATCTATCTATTGTTTACTTTGTGAAAATTAGTCAAGGCATACCAAGGGTTTTGTTTGGGAACAATGTTTTTCCAAATACACTCTGTAACAATCCCACTCATTTTTGAATTTTTGGTTTGGTTGGTTCCTTATTGTCTCTGTCATTTTTGCTAGTTCTAGGTATTCACATAATTTAATTTGCCATTCTTCCTTTGTAGGGGCTTTCTCTCCTTTCTCACTGCTGTTGCAGCATATAAGAAAATTCTCCTCTTATCATTTGGTACATCAGATGTTAGAATGTCAAAAAGCTTCCGTTTTTTCCACAAGTGTTTGTTTAAATATTTTTTTAAACTCGTCATAGACAATACCCCCCCCCCAAAAAATTAATTTTTCCACAACCCCACCACATGTGGTACATTGTTCCCTCCATTTGCTTACACCTCCAGTATACATTTGAGTTTGTTATATATATTTTGTCCAATTTGCTGGGGGTCATGTACCATCCGTAGAGCATTTTCATAAAATTTTCCTTTAGTGTGTAGCAAGCCGTAAATTTTAAATCTCTTTTCCATATTTTTTCCCAATCATCCATCTGAATGGAGTATCCAAAATCCCTTGCCCATTTAATCAACCTTCACTTCTTTAATCAACCTTCACTTCTTCCTCCTTAACCTCCCAATCCAGTAGTAATCTGTGCAATTTAGATAGTGTTTTCTTTTTGGTCTGTAATATGTCTTTTTCCAACCTCGATATCTCTGTTGCAAATCCATCTTTTCGATCAATTTGAAAACATCATTTAGTTGATGATATTATAGCCAATCCGTAAGATGATTTTTGATTTCTTCAAATTTTCTCAATTTGAGTTGGTCTTCTTCTAAGACAGGGGTAGGCAACCTAAGGCCTGGGAGCCGGATGCAGCCTAATTGCCTTCTCAATCCGGCCCGCGTATGGTCCGGGAATCGTGTTTTTACATGAGTAGAATGTGTCCTTTTATTTAAAATGCACCTCTGGGTTATTTGTGGGGCATAGGAATTCATTCATATTTTTCCCCAAAATATATTCCGGCCCACCACATGGTCTGAGAGATGGTGGACTGGCCCACGGCTGAAAAAGGTTGCTCACCCCTGGTCTAAGATTTCTTTATAGGTTGCCCAATTTTTTCCCAAGTTTTTCCTCTTTACTGAGACGGCCTCTAGGGGGATAACCATCAGGATGTTGTTGGTTCCCGTAAATTTTTGTACCCCTGTGTACTTTTACTTTTCCATCACCCAAATAGGCGTGCCACCCAAATCTGTTGTCCCATCCTTCCAGAACCAATAAATCAGTGTTCTGCAAGATCACCCACTCTTTTAGCCAGCAGAAGCAGGACACTTCAAAATAGAGCCTCAGGTCTGGTAACACAAAAACCCCTCTATCTTTAATATCAAGTAGTAATTTGTGTTTAATTCGAGGTTTCTTCCTTTGCCAAGTGAATTTTGATAACTCCCTCTGCCAATCCCTGAAGCATCCAGTCCCACCAACAATTGGAATAATCTGGAACAGAAACATCATCTTTGGAAGGACATTCATTTTGATTGTTGAAACTCTCCCCCAAAACAAGAGGTTCAGCCTATTCCATATTTCCAAATCTTTTTTTATCACTTTCCAGGTCCTGCTATAATTACGTATCATTAAATAAATTGATGTTTTTTTGCTGTAATCCAAATTCCCAGGTCTTTAGCTTTTTTAGTTATTGTCAGACCAGATTTTTTTTGGTAATGCTTGTTTTTCTTGGTCTCTCATATTCTTTACCAACAATTTTGTTTTATCTTTGTTCAACTTAAATCCTGTCACCTGACCAAACTCCTTGCAGTTCTTTCTTAGCATCCTGCAGGAGAAAAGCTGCAACATTTGAAGTCAGCTCACACTGTTATTGCTAAGCTTAGTTTTCAGTGGCTCAGAGAATCTTGATGTCACAATCTTTCTATGCAACAATTGTGATGCCATCAAGGAGATCTCTCTTTCTAGATCAGCAACTCTTTTTCTTCAGTGCTTTTCAACAAGTTTCACTCTAGTAATATCAGGAAATATACACCAGGCACTTTAAGTCTGTGGCTATGTACTTTTTGGGTCCAGGGGTGCTTTTGGAATTTTGAGAAGGTGACAAGGGCACCACTCACAAAATGGCTGCCACCAGGAGTGTCGTCTGACCCAAAATGGCTGCAATCCCCAATAGGTTAGAAATAGGAAAGAGAGAAGGAACACAACATGCTTTCCATGAGGAAAAAGCTATTCAATGATTATTGTTATTTTATAACAAAAAATGTTCTAAAAAGTGTTCTTTTCCAGATACTATCGCATCATGGTTGTTATCAAGGGGGCCCCTTGCCGTTTCACTGCATGATGCACAGTGCAGGGGGGTCACTCCAGCGGTGTGGGTGGCAAGGGCAGGGGTGTTGTAGTGGGCTCTTGCACTCTCTGCACCCTGCCCCTGGGTGCGCCCACCTTCCCCTGACATGTGCAACCCCCCCCCCCCCCGTGCTTGTGGCCGCCCTGGGTGCCGAGAACTCACACTCTGCAGCTGGGAGGAAAGCTTGAAATCAGCACACACAAACACATTTGCAACAATTGGAAAAGGTGATCATAATGACAATGAAAATGCCTCTGCAATGTCCCCAACAACAACTTTGGAACACCCAGGAAAAGAGTAATCATTATGATTGCCATCCTCATTTTGATTCCTCTGCCCTGGACTCCCCCAACCCAAACAACTAGGCAGAGCCGTCTTTCCCATAGGGCTTAGTGGTGCGTCGCGCCAGGGTGCCGGCTTCTCAGGGGCGCCCTAGCGAGTTGGGGAGCTGCGCAGCTTTGCCGGCGGCCTCCCCTTTCCCTGCACACCCGCCAGCTGTGCCCCGCCAACTATATGGCTGGCGGGCATGCAGCTTCCTTCCCAAGCCTCCGCAGTAGAGCGATCCCCACAGAAGCTTAGGATGGAAGCTACACGCAGCTTCCCTTCCCAGCCTCTGCTAAAAACGGCCCTGCTCCCGGTCGTTGTCCTCCTCCTGCTTCCTGACAAAAGGCGGCGTGCAACCTTCCCGGCCTGCCTTTTCGGGCGCCCTGACGCCGGAGAGCATGTCCGCCAGCACGTTTTCCTGCTTGATCGCTGCCACCACGCCGGGGATCGGGGTGGTGGGGGAGGCAGAGGACATTTTCTACAGCCCCCTCCCTTGTTTTGGAGTTGCCGGGGGGGATCTTTGCACCACGGCGCCGGAGATGCTTAAGACAGCCCTGCAACTAGGAATAAGCCTTGCAGAAACAAGAAAGGCTTGCCATATCCCACCCACCCCAATATTCCTCTGAGGCCCCTCTCAAGCAGCTGCTGGCTCCATCTGCCAACAGGCAGCAAAGCAAACAGAGCATTAATTGGAGGATTCCACACCCACATTTTCAAAACGTTTCTCAAGCAATAGCCTGCTGGCTGTGCCATGTGGGTAGCTGGCAGCAAAAGGAGTAATGGGCAATTCCCACACTTCTTGCCCTCCTCCATCACGTACATTTCAAAACTTCTCTCAAGGCTCATCCACAATTCCCGTTGCTCTACATTTCCAGGCACAGCTCCAGGCTTCTCAGGTCATGTCTAAGCATTTTTATTTTGCCCCGTTGCTTTCCCCGTGAAAACCTGCTCTTTACTGCTAAATCAGAGCAAATGGCAGTCCGTTGAAAACACAATTTGTCATTAGTGATAAAGATTGAGTTTTTCTGGAGAAAACAGTGGGGCAAAAAAGGGGGGGAAGCACTTGGGCAGGGACTGGGAAAGCACAGACCTGTGCCTGGAAAGTGTGGGGCAAACAGTAAGTGTGCCAAAGTCCTCAGTTAGCTACCGCCGTATGGCTGGCAGGCAGCAAAACAAAATAAATAGAACAACAGGTGGATCAAATGACAAGAAAATAAGGCGGAATGCAGGAAAAGAATGCAGGGGAGAGGGAAACAGCAGCTCCTTAGGACCCCAGGGATTTCTATTGCCAGCTGCCCAAACAGGGTGCCTAGCAGTCACAGCTCAATATTCACACATTGTCCAGAAATACCTACAGGATGGGAGCAGCCCAGCTGGCTGATTGCAAATGTAAATTTTTATTAAGTTTCCAAAATTTCTCAAATTAGATAATTACATAACAACTTTGTTTCATAGATTAACTTCCTACCCAAATGTCCAGAGTGTTTTTCTTCAAACCCTTTTCTACTGCATTATATAGCAAACTCTTATCTATTACAAAAAAAAACCCCTTTAATACAATTATTTTATCATTGTTCTTCCACTGCTCATGTGTTGAATCCTGCCCATGATTTCATTTGGCTATAATGTTTTTCAAATAGTCCAAAAAAGGCCTCCAGTCTACTGTAAAAAGCTCATCATTTGGGTCTCTTAATTTTGCTGTCTGTTTTGCCATTTCCACATAGTCCATTACGTCTTTCCATTTCTGTGCATATAGTATTCCAGCTGCTGTTGTCACATACATAAATAATTTGGTCATCGTCTTCAGAATACGTGTCCCTATTATCCCTATAAGAAAGGCTTCAAGTCTTTTGGGAATAACCCACTTAAACACCTTCATTTCATTATATATCCTTTCCCAAAAGCCTTTAGCCTTTTTGCATGTCCACCACATATGAAAGAATGACCCTTCGGTCTGTTTATACTTCCAACATTTACTTGACACATTTTTATACGTTTTGGCCATTTGTTTGACATTAGGTACCACCCACACATCATTTCCAAATAGTTTGGTTTTTTTTAAAGTATAACAGGCAGTAAATTGCATGTCCTTTTCCGATAACTTCTCCCATGAAACCATATCAATATTATGATCTAAATCTAAAGGGACCCATGCAGAGCAGAGCAAGGGAAGCTGGACCTGCTTCCCTCTCCTTTTAAGGGCAGCTGTCACTGCTGGGGCAGATGTGACTTCACAACCAGCCAAGTAATAATGGGGGTGAGCTACCAGTGCAGCAGGCAGCAGCCAACAGGGCTGCACAAAGGCAGCGGGAGAGCTGGGGAAGGCCCAGGCTTTAAAGTACAAGAGTGACTTGAGTATGTTGCACTGTGCCTGCAGAGAGGAGGAGAGGCAAGTAGCAGCCCTGGCTCTAGATGCTCTGCCCCTTTAAGAGCTGTGCGCCTCCAGAGGTAGGAATGGAAGTGATGGAGAGGGGTGGGATTGGCCTATGTGACAGGCAGCTGGAGGCAAGCTACAAGGGTGGGCGGATGTGTAGAAACCTCTGATGTTTGTGTAGCTGCAAGGCAGTCCGCTGTGCAAATGGGGTAAGAGCCACAACCATAGCTCCTTCCACCTTCGGTCTCTCCTGCCCAACCTACCAACTGGCATGCAGCCCCTGGACCGTTGACTACAGGCAGCTTGCTTCAACAAGAATCAAGATACATTATATAAAAAAGACAAATCCCACATTCAACACAGCTGTTAATGATAAAATCCTACATTTGTAGTAACACAATTAAGCAGCAAATCTCTAAAAACTAAAATAAAAACAAAAGTGAATTATTTGCAAAATGAAAATATATCAGAATGCAGCAGATATATATATATATATGGACCACATGACTATTATAAAAAAGTGCCCCCAGGTGTAATATTACAAATCAGGAATTAAGTGCCACCCTCACTCCTCCGACAATTACACTCCCCTTGCTTCCATCACATAGTACCATCCACTCAATTCTCACTTTGGCAAAACACTCAAAACATTCCACAACCCATCATCATGTCCAAATCCAGCAGTTGCAAAGACAAAAAACCAACATCTCTCACTTGGGATAACACAAACACCTTTTCCCCATCTGTTATCAAGGGAGATTAAACCCTTCCCCACCAAGAGACCCTCACCCTGGGGGGTGGCGTTCAGGCCCAGCCACCAACGCCCTTGAGTCTTGACCCTCACAGAACAATAATGGCGGAAGAACAATAAACTGAAAAGGACAAATCGTAGCAGGGATAGGAACAAACTGCATACCATTTGGCTAGCACCTTATTAGATAGCAGTTACAGTGAGAACTTGGATGCACCACTGAGTTGGATGGCTTTAAAACAGGACTGGGCAAATTCATGGAGGAGAAGGTCACAGGGGCCACTAGCCAGGATGCCTCTGCTCTGCCTCCATGGCTGGAAGCAGAAATGCTTCTGAGTGCCAGTTGCTGGAAACAGGGACAGTGCTCTTGTGCTCACGTCTGGCTGTGAAGGTTTCTCACAGACTGGCCACTATGAGAACGGGATGCTGGACTGAACCAGGCTCTTCTTGTGTCCTTAACTTGCTCTTTTAATTCTTTAGCCGACTTTCACCATGGCTATCACCAGTGCTTTTTTTCTGGGGGGATGCCAGGGCACGCATATCCCTAAACATTTTGTGAATCTAAGTTTGGCCTCATTGAGCGGCAGTTTTTCAATATGAGTGGGAAAATGAGAGTACCCCTAAACATTTTTTTTTAGAAAAAAAGCACTGGCTGCCACGGGCAAAAAGGACAATGGGAAAGCTACCTATTGCCACATTCTGAGCTGATTGACATGTGTTATGGTATTGTTTGGGGGGGGGACTGCTTGGCTCAGTGGTGGTCTGCTGGCTGAGCCCCTTTGGCTCACACCTCTGTGCAAGCAGGTCTCAGGTAATAAGTACCTGAAGGGTGGGAAGAGCAGAAACATCCCAGATGTTTCCTATCCAGCTCTACCCCACCAACCCCAGTTCCTTCCCACTCCCCACAGTTACCAATACCAGGAGGGGGAAATGTACAAAATGGTAATCACTTAGCAAATAAGCTATGTTTACAATTTAATTGATATGATTTATACTGATTGCAGGATTCAGTCTTTTCTCCAGGGCAGAATTCATGCAGCCTTGCTGAGAAATCTTCCTTGTCAACAGTTTGGATCCTTTTCTCTCTCATGTTTTTCTCCAGGGACATCTGCTTTAGAGATGGCCTTGGCCCCCCTCATCTTCCTGGCTGTGCTAGCTCTAGTTCATCACCCCCTGATGGTCAGTGATCACACAGACTTGGCCACACTGGACCGGCTCCAGGAGCGTGAGAAGCTGATGAAAACAGAGATGGGACGCCTGCAGACAGAAGTTGACCAAAAGGGCTGGAGCTGGGACCCAAGGCAGAGCCGGGAGGATTGGGTGACAACCGATCCGGCAGCAGAGGATGGAACCTGGGATGGGTGGCACTACGTAGCGCTGGTCATTCTCATCCTGTTTGGGTGCTGCGGACGCACCATAGAGAAGGAACCCGGTTATGACTGGAGCACAGACAGCTCCAGCAGCACCACCTTTGGTGAAGAAGACTATGACGACACTGACACGGAATCCGAATGCGACGAATCCAAGCAAAAAATGCTGGAGACCTTCTGTGACCAGCACGTTGAACTGGAAACCAGTGGTCTGACCAGCACGTGTGATTTTGTGGAGACCTTTGTGAATGACTTGCTGGAGGCTTGTCGCGGAGCCCTTCCCTACCAGAACATCCACCCTGTGCTGGAGAATTGCATCGGGGTGGACAGTGCCTTTGAAGGATGGCACACCCAGACGCCTTCCAAAGCTTTCCGCGTTCTCGTGCCCGTACTGCCACCCAAGGGGCACTCTTTCCACATTGAAACTAGTGAATCTGAGGGTGCCCCAAGCACACATGGACACATCTTGGTGGAGACAGAATGTGTGTGCAAGAGAGAGAGGTTCCTGGGGGACGTGGTGTGTTTCCTTCACCACCCAGAGCAAGAACTGAGCAGTGGCAAGCAAGGAATCTTCCTTTTCCACGTTTTGTGCACCAGCTTCCACTTGGATGTGGAGAAAACCATCCACTGGTTCCAAGGCCTGGTGGGCAAGGCCTGGCCCAGTATCCAGCCCTGGTACAACTTTGACCTTGTGCCTCAGCCTTCTAATTCAACATGTCGACTGAAATTGGTATACCAGTCAGGCACGTCGATCTCTGTTGACATCATACTCGGGGTGCAGCAAGGAGACTCCTTGGTCTTCCTTACCACCCAACCTGCCGAGATGGATCGTTTGACTGGCACTGTCTGGCAGAAGTCCTATGCTGTCCAGGAGCTGCTCTTTTTTCAGTGGGTGAGCCTGCGAGTCCCAGAGGAGAGCTGCCACCTGAAATGTCTCCAGATCATAATCTATTTCAAAGAGTCCAGCCCATCAGAGGGGAAGAACATGGTGCTCACCAACTATCACTACAAGACTTGCCTGATGCATCTCTTGCTCTCTCAGCCCCCGTTGGACTGGGGCCCTGAGAGCTCTGCACAAAGACTTCAGGACATCCTCTTGTATATGCACACCGCCCTGCAGGAGAGATATCTTCAGCATTTCGTTATTGGTAACATCTCCTTGCCTATCCGGATCCCTATGCCTAATGTCCTCCGGAGGGCAACACCCGTAAATCTTTTCAGGCACTTGGCAGAGGACCCAAACCTTCATGCCAAGGCAATGAAGGAGTTTGCAGAGGTTGTACAACCAGTGAGGGCTCTGTTGACAGGGTACCGACAGTAGCAAAAGTCAGCTCTGTTAGAAAGACCAGCCTTTTGTGTATTTTTCTGTACTCCAGTTCCAACAGAATTTGCTATATTAAACTTGAAATAAAGGTTCCAGCAAACTGTGTTCTTAAATGCCTGCCAGGCCTCCAATGAAGCCACTGTGTTTCACTGCTTCTCTAGGTCTACCTTTAGAAAACCCATAAACTAACCACAGGCATCTGATGGCCACAGGGCTGCATTTGCAACTTCCCCAGCTGTTTTTTCAATGGAACATGAGATGGAAGGAGGGGTCACTAATCTGTCTTGGTCTGAAAACAAAAGAAGTGTGTCGATTCCTAACTATGGCAGCACTGTCACACTGTGTGCAGGGGCCGTACCCAACACTGGTGGTGCCCGTGGCAGAAAATCCAAAGAAATTAATGAACATGGGGCACAGCAAGCTGTTTGAACAGGGGTGGGTAGCTTCGGACCATCCATATACTGTTGGGCTCCCATCAGCCCCAACCAGCATGGCCAAGGGCTGATGGGAGTTGTAGTCCAGCAACACCTGGGGGACCACAGTCTTCCTACCACTGAGTTAGAAAGCTGTCCTGCACATGCCTCATTCAAATGAATGGGAACCACCAGAGTATTTTTTATTCTCTTCAAAATAAGAACTGCACAATGTATCCCTGCAAAGGTTTCTAAGGACAGCAGTCTACCATGGATTCAAGGCTGGTTATGCATGCAATTTTTGAACAGCAGCCACACAATGCCCTCTTCAGAATGCCATCCTATATTATTTTCCCTTTTAGTTTCTGTGGAAAATCTAGCAAGTTAAAAAACAAAGAGCTGTGGAAATGGTAGATGTGGATTAAACTGGGGTGTGGTGGATACGAGGTGGCATTTGGATGAGGATGTGTAGAGGCAGTGAAAAGCTTGCATGCATGGAGAGCAGGGATTCCTAAATAAACTGTGCAGGAGCACCCAGGCACTTGTCCAGGCTTCATGATTCCTTCAGAATGAGGCACAGGGGACGCAGGGATATGCATACCCCCAAACAACAACAAATGTTTATTCGGCTTTACGCCCATCATGAAGCACAACACAACCAAACAAATCAAATAAAACAGCGGACTCATACAAACCACAAGTAGTATAACACAGTTCATAACTCACAAGGACGGATATTAGCCATTCATAAAAATAAGTTTAAGATTAAGATTAAAAAAATTTGGCACTACACTAAAAACAATATCTGATCTCATTATAGAAAATTCTTATGACTATCAATAATCAGCTAACATTCCGTTCCGTCTCTTGTACGAGAGGACGGCTGTTAGGAATTTAGCAACCTGTAGGGTAATATAAGGATCCACATCTTGAAGTACCCAGGCAAGCTGTAGGTCTACTGGTTTGTCAGCCATAGGCTGGATTATGGGGTTTAGTATACTAGCACAGGCTGAACTGTACAAAGGGCAGATAAACATAACATGATGTAGAGATTCAGATGTTTTCATTTCACAAGCACACATTGAAGGGACTTGGCCCTTAGTGAATCTATGTCTCAGCACGTTTGTTGGAAAGACATTGAACCTAGCTCTAATGAAGGCATATCGGTGAGACGCGGCCATAAGCGATGTTAAGTAGGACGGAGCGCGGTAGATAGGGGTTATGCCGAAATTTAACGGCGAGCAGGCTCCACCACCAGCTACGAAATTTTGGTATAGCTCCGCATCATCCAGCCTTTGATTTATACACCTTTTTGCCACATTTAGATCCAGTTTGAGCAATTCAGTGGGCGAGATCTCATAGGACAGCAATTTGGCATGGATTTTTCCTGACCACAAATTTGTGAAGTCATCCCGCCACATGCATTGAATTAGATAGTGGTTCGGGAGTTTATGCCATAGGGATATCCAATAGATCAAAACTCTCCTCCATATGACTAACTCCACTGAGGGGATCTTCATTTCTAAGCGAATGGCCGCATTACTTACACATGTTGGTAATTTTAAAAGTCGGCGTAAGAATTGGCTTTGAAGTGTCTCTAAAGGTGAGAGGTTTGCAAAGGCAGCCCATAAAGGAGCAGCATAGGCCATTGTGGCCATCACTTTGATGCTATACACTTTCAAGGCCGCAGGGATGAATAAGGCCCCCTCAGAGTAGAAAAAACGGAGGAGGGAGTGTGATAGGGCTTTTGTCTTGTTTTGAAGATATTCAACGTGCGCTTTCCACCCTAAATTATATTGAAAATAAATTCCTAAGTATTTAAATTTATGTACTTGTTCGATTTTCGTGCCCTCCAGCTTCCATGAATAAAGTTTTTGACTCCTTGAAAATATCAGTACTTTAGACTTGGTGTGGTTGATAGACAGATGATTAGAATGGCAATATGTCGCAAAAATCTTTAATGCCCTCCTTAAACCCACTCTAGAGTAAGAGAGTAGTACCGCATCATCTGCGTAGAGAAGTAAAGGACAACGGTAATCAGCTATGCGAGGGGTGTGGATAAATTTTTGTGCGATGGCTAATGGGTTCCTCATATCACTGATAAATAAGTTAAAAAGAAGCGGCGCTAAAATACAACCCTGGCGTACACCCTTATTTACTGGCACTGGGTTAGTCAGGTCTCCAGCAGGGAATAATCTCACCCTGGCCACGGACCTGGCATGAAGTTGGGAGATAAGCCACAGGAGCCTTCTATCTATTCCCCAACAGGCAAGTTTATCCCATAGCAATTTCCTCGGAATACTATCAAACGCAGCTTTCAAATCTATGAAAGCTGCGCAAAGTTGGCCCCGTCGAGGTGTCGAGTATTTCCGGGCTAAGTGATAAAGAATAATTGCCTGGTCTGTTGTGGATCGGTTTGATCTAAATCCAGCTTGCTCATGTCCAATCAGGTCAGCCTCAACTGACCACTTCATCAACCTTGTCAGCAAAAAACGGGCATATATTTTCCCAATGGACGATAGCAGACTGATATTCCGATAAATCCCTGGGTCACCGGGAGGGCCTTTTTTGTAGATAGGAATTATAATGGCCTCCTTCCACGTTCCTGGAATTAAGCCCGTGGCATTTATTGCGTCGAACGTTTTAGCTAAGATCCCTGCCCACCATGCAGAATGAAGCTTTATGGCCTCAACTGGGACCAAATCTGGCCCAGGGGCCTTACCAGTTTTCAGCTCAGCTATCAATTCTAGGATTTCAGCAGGGTCGGTATTGGGCCAGACAGGAAGGGGATTAGAAGGTCTCCAATGAGTGGCCGGAGCTTCTGCCACTGAGAAATATTTTCTCAGGAACTGCTCCCATGTAGGGGCCGGGATCACCGTTAAGGGATATTTCGTGTTTCTTCCCTTTATTAAGGACCAAAAGTTCTGGGAGTTATGAGATTTTGAGGCAGAAATTATAGTCTGCCAACGATTTGAATGCCATTCCCGTTTGGCCAATTTCTGGGCCTGTTTGTATGCTTTTTTAGCCAGGGAATAAGATGGAGGTAAAGCCGGAGCGCCGGAAAGTTTATAATCCTTGTATATTGTATGAAGATGGAGTCTGGCTAGTTTGCAAGCAGAGTTGAACCAAGGGGCGCCAAATTTAAAATAGTCTTTTTTAACTCCATAGGTAGGAGAAGTAAAAAAGCGAGTTAAAACTTCTATCAGGCAAGAAAAAAAGTTCAAACAGGTAATAGGATCACGTGGGACTATTCCTACGTCCAGCTGATCACCAGAAAACTTTTCTCTGATAAAATCCATATATCTATGAGCGAGGGCAGGGGACCATCTAGTGCCCTTTACTTTAGTGGACGACTCCACAGTCACCGGGATTGGGTGGAAGCGGTCGAGCAACTGCCAGTCAACACATAACTTGGTTGTCAGGGGAAGATGGTCACTAAATTGGGCATTATCAATTTTAAAGGAGGCGACATTCAAAAATAGATCCCGGGAAACCAAAACATAGTCGAGAACACTGTTGGATTTTAACCCCAGGTGGGTGAACTCTCCTGGTATGTCTGGAGGACACCTGCCGTTTAATATTATTAAATTAAGGCGTAGAGTCATCTGATAAAGCATCACTCCCGCCTTGTTGACTTTTACATCCTTTGATATTCTAGTGGGGGTGTATGCTAGATCGTAAGTTTGAGCGCCAGGGTCAATCCACCACTTAGACTTTTTAAGAGCCTCCCAATTTGAGGCTATCCGAGCGTTAAAATCGCCTCCAGTAATGGAGGGGACATTGGGATATTTAAGATAGCAAGAAAGTAGAAAATCCTCTAGGGATTCCCATCTAGAAGTAAGATCCGCTGCTAACCCTCCCGGAGGGAAATAGACATTTGTAACCAATAAAGAGAAGTTTCCACCAGAGATCAGTCCGGTAATAGCATAAGGCGGAAATGCATGCACTAGTGAAAGTTTAGCCCGAAGTTTAAGGGAGATACCTATTGTAAGGCCACCTTTAGGGCAGCCACCATTCGTTGACGGGCTAGCAGGCAGACATATAAACTCAAAGCCATTTAACTCAATTTCCTCCTCCACCCAAGTTTCTTGTAATAGTATAATAAGAAAGGAATTAATATATTTTTGGAATTCTGGATCTAATTTTTTACTTTTCCATCCAGCAATGTTCCAACTTAATATTGAGGGCTGGGGTTTCCCCGTACCTCCAATTGACTGTCATTCAGAAAATTGGCTCAACTTTAATACGGGAAGAGGGGAGCCAATAAAGAAATCAGTTATCTTCCTCTGATGAAAAACCTCTCGTAAAGGCTGAGTGGGATTTACAAGGTCATCTGACTGTTGAGCTTGGCCACTCGATCTACTAGGAGTAGGACCTTGAACAGGGGCGGACCCCTTTTCCAAAAGAGTTTGGTGGGCCACCCGGGGTGGACCAGCTATCTCGTCAGAAGTTTGGTCTCTCTGTAGCCTGCTACTGGTCTTTTGAGCTACATGATTTATGTGGCCTGTTGGGTCTTCAATCAGTTCCGTCACTGATCTTGCTGTTGAATCCATAATACTCTGCAAGGAGGGATGAGGCTGGGCGGGAGGACTATTTGGGGAGGTTGG